CCGCACCCAACGGTGCCTGGACACGCCCAGACAAACCTCCATGGCCCCTTCTCGTACCTGCGTAAGCCATGCACAACCTCCACACACCTGCTTTCAGCCGTGCACAACCGCACAGTACAGCACCTGCCGTTAATTTTTCAGGGGTTGTTTGCCTCCTAATCACTCCACAAGCACCAATTCTGAAGGGACGAAACTACATCAATATGGATGCAAAAGCATCCCACATAAAATCCAAGGACAAACCCACTTTACCAATCAACAAGTGGAATCTCTAGAAAATCCCACAGGTATCTATCTATAAGCACATTCAGGTAAGTTTCCTATTTCACATAGTTCAAATATCTCAGATAGACTTTGTATGTTCATGGATTATGGACTCAAGAATTCCTGATCATATGACAATTTTTTTTGTTATTTTAGTATATATGTTCCTTGTCCCAGTAACAAAAGAATAGTCATTGCAGACAGTTTGTTAACCATTATAGAAGTTGGTAATATCAAGATAAGTTCCAACTATAGTATTAAGCATCATATCCCAAAATTTTGTACTAATCGTGTATCAGTGACTAAATTGTCTAATGATCTTGAATTGCAAAGTTTGTGACCTTCAAGACTGGGACTTAGTATGATTAGACATACAAATATACAAAACGGATTATACTTCTTAGAGACACCTGAGTTCTCCACTTCCTTTACCTCTAATACCATTACTTACAAGATTTGACTCCACCATAGACTTGGAAACGCTTCCTTTTCTATTCCTAAAGTGATGTTTCCCTCTTTATTTAAAGAAGCAATAGTAGAAGACAATTACGATGTGATGTATATGAACTTACTAAATATAGGTGCACAACATTTCCTATAAATAATAAAACAAGCATTATTCTATTTTTATTATTCACAGTGACATTTGGGGCTCATACCACATCTCTAATATTTATAGGATTTAATGGCTGTTTCTTTCATTGACGATTGTACAAATCACCTGGTTGTTTTTTACTAAATTCCAAATCTAATGTGAGTTATTGTACTTCCACAGCTTCACAATATCATTAAAACACAATTTGGTACTCATATTAAAATATTACATTTTTTTGTCTAGATAAAAGTCGAGAAGTTGTACTGAAGTATAGGTACCAAGGGTTACCACCAATGTACAAAAAAATTATAAGTCAATGAGCATATTTACAATAAAGCCAAAATCATCAAGGCTAAGAAGGTTATGTTCCAGAATAACGGAATTAAAAAAAATGAAACCATTTGTCCTTAACGTTGCCAAAACTATCCTCTTTACCTTCATAAGCTCTATTATTTCTTTTTTTCTAAAGGACCCAAAAAATAATAAGATGAATTAGTTCGAATTTCTTCTTCTTTTTGCACAAAGTTCCCCATGCCTTCAATTCATCTTTGATGGAACCAGCCATGACCCAATTAACACCAAGAAGCCCATAGATCATGATTCATCGTTTGTAAATGAAGTGGCAGAATAGTAGGAGATGGTTTGCATGATTCTGCATTTTCCTTGCAAAGGAATCATCTATTGGTTAAGTTTATACCTCTCTTCATAAGATTGTCTATGGTTAGGAGTCATTCTCTTGTTGCTTCCCATGCAAAAAAAGGAAATTCTAGGGGGGGAGCATTAGTCTTCCACATCATCTTTGCAAGGAAATCTGATCTCTTCGCCCCACACTGGCCTGCAAGGTGATAATAAAACGTTTTGACCGAGAAGGTGCCATTATCGCCCAGAGACCAGTGGAGTTTATCATCATTACTG